GCCCGCCGCCCGCGCTTGCGTTCGGGGCAGACCTGCTCGGGATAGCGATATGTGCGACGTGGAGGCAGCGTCGCCGCGCCCGCCAGTGTCCTTGTTTGTCCGTGATCGAGAAGGCGCAATATTGCGCTGGTCGCTCTTGGGGCCGTCAGCGCGCGCCACGTTGCTTTCCGACTCGGGCCCGCATTCGCCGCGGCCGCGGCGGGAAATGCATTGGGGCTGGGGGGTGGGGAGGCGGGGGGGCGCAAATGGCGCTTCTCCCATCGTCCGAGATGGCAGGATGGCCGAGGCCCCGGGGTGCTTGGCAGGCCGCGCGCTGCCCGAGCTCAGTCCAAGCCGGGAGGGTGGTCGAGGTGCGGGGGGGGTCGGCAGACCGCGCATTGACCAGGTCTGATCCGGGGGGATGGCCGAGGTGCGGGGGGGGGGCCGCCAGACCGCGCATTGCCCCGGGCCCATCCGAGCCGGGAGGATGCCCGAGGTGCGGGGGGGGCGGCAGACCGCACATTACCCCAGGTCCATCCGAGCCGGGAGGATGCCCGAGGTGCGGGGGGGGGGCCGCCAGACCGCGCATTGCCCAGGTCACTCGCTCGCAACACTCCCTGAATCGTCGGCCGGGAGGATGGCCGAGGTGCGGGGGGGGTCGGCAGAGCGCGCATTACCCCGGGTCCATCCGAGCCGGGATGATGCCCGAGGTGCCAGGGGTCATAGTACAACGGGGTGCCCACAGTGGGTGGAAGGCTGCACATTGGATGGCCACCTCTGGTGGGTCACTGCGGTCTGCTGCGGGGGGGGCTGGAGTGCAGGGTGCCATCCTGGTGGGCGGTGTCCGCGGTGGGTGGCGTGTCTGGAAGGGGCCTCGCAGGGTGGTGCGCCTGCCTCGAGATGCTCTGCTGCGCGGGGTGCGCGCCCTTCGGCTCGCGCGTCGAATGGTTCGCCCGACTCAGGGGGGGTCGCGCAGAGCAGGGTGCCCGCCTCGGCGATGAACTCGACGGCGAGATGCACGCCGCGGGGGGCGTCTGCAGGGTGGAGTGCCCTCCCCAGCGGAGATCTCTCAGGCGGGGCGCGACCGCCGCGCGGGCCCGGGCATGGCGGCGTCGGGCGACCGCCGCAACGGGGTGCGTGCAGGGCCTGGGGGGGTGGGTGGGGGGGGCGTTTTGGGGCGCCGCTGGGCGGCTTCGCGCGCGGGCGCCGGTGGCTCCCTCGGAGATCAGCGGCGAAGTTTGCGGGGGCACTTCTGGGGGCCCGCGGGGTCAGGCCGTTGCCGCTCGCTGGGGGAACTCGCTTGGCGAAGGGCCCCGCCATTCGCACATGTGAATGCCGCAATTGTGGATATCGTCTTCGGTGGCGCTCCCTATGGGGCCACGAAACGCGCGGGGGGCGCGCCGACATGGGCGGCGGGGGCGCATGGGAACGTTGCCACTGAGGTCTTACGTGGAGCTCCCTATGGGGCCACTCCCGCTCAGCGTCTTCCGACGCAGGATGAGCCTGGGCGGCCGCGCGCGCGCCGGTTCTGCGCCTCACGCGCGGCGCCCTTCCAATGGATTGGGGCAGGGCTGATGCGAGGTGCGGCGGTGCCCCCTCTCGCGCGCTGCGCTGAGTGGCGCCGAGGCCGCCGCGGGGGCGGCCGCCCTGCCCCCCGTCGCGAACTCTGCGATTCAATGCAGAGTGGGCCACGGTAGCCGCGCGAGCGGCGGCCCTGCCCCCGCACGCGATTCTCTCTTCGGGCGGAGCCTGGGCCAGGGCGGCACTGCGCGCGGTGGCCCTGCCCCGCGCCCCGCAGCTCTCCAGTGGGGCCAGGCCAAAGTTGCCGCGCGCGCAGCGGCCCTCGCCGCCCCCCCCCCCCCCCCCCCGCGCACGGAACTGCATGTGCAGAGTCGGTCGAGGCCGCCGCGCGCGCAGCGGCCCTGCCCCCCCCCCGGGGGGCGCTCGTCAGTTCATATGTGACCAGGGCCACCGCGCGCAGCAGAGACCCCCGCGCTTCGCGCAATGGCCGCCGCGGGCGCAGTAGCTTCTGCCGTCGTGCGCATTTTTTTCTTCGCGGTCAGAATGTCGCAGGGGCCGCCTCGCGCGTGGCCATGCGCGCGCGCAATTTTCCTATTCAAGATGGCCGAGGGGGCGCCGCGCGCTCGGTGGCCCCGCGGCTTCGCGCATGGCGTTTGCGCTGTTAGTGTTCAATCTGGTATGATGCTGCAGCTGTCGCCGCGCGCCGCGTTCCTGCCCCCATCGCGCATTGTCCTGCTCACTTGCAGGGCGCCCCCGCTCCGAGCTGCGCCCTGCCCCCTCGCGCGCTGCGGCCCCGCCCCATCGGTGCCGAATTGTTCGCGCAGAGAGGGCCGGGGCCGCCGCGCGCGCTGCCCCGCGCAGGGCGCGCCGGGGCCGACGCGCGCGGCCGCCGCGCCTGCTCGGACATGCCGCCCCCGCGACCGTGCCCATGCAGAGCTGGCCCGTTGACTCGGGCGCTGTGTTCTCCTAAGCCGAGGTGGCCAGGGTCGCTGCGCGCGCGGCGGCCCTGCGACCGCGCGCGCGGCGTTCTTTTCATGCAGATTGGGCTGGGGCCGACGCGCGCGCGCGGCAGATCTGCGCCCCTGCGGACGTAGCTGTTCATTCAGGATTGGCCGCGAGCGCCGCGCGCGCGCGCGCGGCGGCTCTGCCGCCTTGCCGCGCGTTGCGTTTTCTTCGCGCGCATCGACCAGGGCCGCCGCGCGCGCGACCGCCGCGCGCCCGCGATGTTTTTCAACGCAGCACGGGCCAGGCCCGCCACGCGAGCGGCGGCCCCGCCCCTGCGCGCATTGCATTGCATTGCCGCGCAGAACTGGCAAGAGCCACCGCGAGCGCGGCAGCGCAGCTTTCTGACGCGCTGCCGTGCTTTTAAACCCAGAATTGGCTGGGACCGTCGCGCGGGCGGCGGCTATGCCCGTTCGCGCGCTGGGGTGTTCCATACGGGAAGGGGCAGGCCCGCCGGCCCCGCGGCGACCTTCTCCGCCCCCTCGCGCACGGCGCTGGCCTGGTCAGAATGGGCCAGGGCCGCCGCGCGAGCGGCCGCCTTGCCCCCTCTTCTCTTCCCCCCCGCTTTGTTTTATTGCGAGCGGCGGCGACGCTCCTGCGCGCGCGGCGCCCCGTCGCGCGCGATTGGCCAGGGGCGCCGCGCGCGCGGCGGCCGCGCCCCCCCACCCTCTGCCGCATGGTTCCTCCATGCATTCAAAATGAGCAGGGGGGCCGGGAGCGCGGCTGCCTGCCCGTCGCGACGGCGCGTGATGATGATGGTGATGACGCGCCCTTAAAGACGGGCCCCCGAAATCAACGCGACTCAGAAGCGCCACCACCAGCCGTCACATCGACAGTCGGTGGGGAAGCAAAGAGATCCGGCGAAAGGGAAAGAAATAGCAAACCCACAATTCACGCTGACCCCAGCTCATGACTCGAGACCCCCAGACGGCGTTCACTTTTGAATATTCGAAGAACTCGAATAGAATGAGGGCAATGAAATAACTTTGAATTGAGACGGCAAACCACGGGGCGACATGGAATATTCCGCGATCAGAAGCAATTGAAGGTAAAAGGGGCAGATAAACGATATACACAGAGAATAGAGAATAGGAGCCTTCAACTATTTTGGGGAAGAAAAAAGTGGATGACACAGCAATGTAAACCAAAGTCAGCGCGCGCAACATGAGGAACGCCAAATTGTCTGAGAAGTTAGCATTGCGTGTCAATCCAAGAATGATAACGTTTTGTGCCGGGCAAGATCTACTGAAGGAGAGGACGAAACGCCTCCTGTAGTCGTACATCGACGGGGCAGCCCTCAACTTCCAGCACTCGACAACGCCGTCGTCAGTCCAGTCGAGGCTGTCCAGGTACCAAATCACGTTCTGGGCCCAGCCGCTCTCTGGAACTAGCAAAACCGCGTGGTACTCGTGCTCCCACACCTTTGTATAGGACTCGTCACGCTAACTGTAGTGCCACCAGCCCTCCGAGCCCTTTGTGCCGCTTCGTCTCTGGGTTGGCGAGGGGGCAAACCGGAGTAGCTTTGCGCTCCCCCATGCTGCAAACACAAGATGGGGAACTTCGGAATGAAGCGGGCAGTGTATGAACGCGTGTGGGAGCACCCCAGGCTGAGAAACGATATGGAAAACCGCAAACGGGAGGCGCGGTGCCAACTCTGTTTGAGGCTGAAGTGGCGATTGAGTGGGCACAATGCAATGCGCACAGCCAGAAGCGGCTCACGGAGAATGGGACTTCCCAGGCGCTGCGAGGACGAAGATTAGCGATCGAACCAACGATACTTCTCCACCTGGCTCCACTCCACCCTAGCGTTGAGAGGCCCAATCCGTAACCCAGAAATCATATTCGACCGAGGCCCAAGACGCATCCACCTATCAAGATCAAACCATTGGACAGTGCACGATGAAACAAAACACACCAAACACGAAGACGAATCCCGCACCTGAAACTCAGCTGGAAGAGAATACGCACGATTGCACCACAGCGGAGAAGTTTGTGGTAGGGGGGACAAGCCGTCAGTCGCCATGAAGTGTGTTGGCCTCCAATGCCGAGGGCCAACGCCACGTTTGATGACAACGGCATGATTGAGTAGGGAACAGAGGGTCGAAACAGGATGCGTATAAACAGACTATGTAAACGGTCTGAGCAAAGTACGAACGACACCCCTCTCAGACAGAGTGTTCGGCGCCGCGCGCGGCTAGGATGCCTCGCGGTTTCGCTCTCACCTGGAGCACTGGGCCACAACCAGTTCAGGCCGACCACAGCCACTACCTGAGTGAGAAAGAAGCCGAGCCTTCCTCGCCCTCCTCCTCCCTCCTCCGCCTTCCTCCTCCTGCCTCCTCCTGTCTCCTCTTCCTCCTCCTCCTCCTCCATTTTCCCACATCCTCCTCGTCCTTCCTTTCTCCTCCTCCTCCCTCCTCCGCACTCCTCTTCCCTCATCTTTCCTCCTTGTTCCCTCACCTCCTCTGGCCGCCGACGCCGAGCGGCGACGGCGGCAATGCGCCTGCACTTTCGAATCGAAATCGGCCTTCATGACCTCCGTGTCCGCGCGGATACTGGCGGCGGCCTCGCGGGGCAAGGTTCGATCAAGGGTTCTTCGGCTCCTCTTGCTTCCCGTGCTCGTTGGGTTACGAGTTTTATCATTACTTTTCATGTTCGTCGTCTGAATCGTATTCGTAGTAATGCCATGATGTGTGTTGTTGATCTTGTCGTTGTCTTATCCTTGTTGTTCTTGCCAGGCGCACTCGTTTAGAGGAAAGCTGAGGGGACGAACGGCTCAGAGCGGCTCCTCCTGCTGCTGCTGCTCGTGTTCCCCCCCGTACCCTCCCCAATAAGGCATCCACTGTTTTGAACAGAACAATGTAAAAATCGGTTCTTAACTTTCGGACTCAGGACCGTAAAACAAAACGACTCAGGATGAAAGGACGGCCAACGCGGTAACGGTCGGGGCTTTCGGGGATCCAACGTCGAAAAAGCCAAACACATCGGGTGTCGGAATTTCTGTCAAACACGAGTCGCGCTTACGGGTATCATGCTATCCATGGATTGTGGCACCAGGAAGCTGGGCCCGCTTACGGGGTTACGGCGTTCAAAAATAATCTCGTCAAGGCTTTTCCTGAACCGCCTCCTCCTCATCCTCATCCTTATCCAGCCGTCCTCGTCTTCCTTGTTCTCGTCCAACTGCTCGTCGCTGTTGGTGGTTATCATGCTGATGCTCCTCATCGTCCACTTTTGCCTCCTTCTCCCCCTCATGCTCGCCGGCGCCATCATGCTCCCCATCATCACCGTCTGTAGCTGCTGCTGATCCTCCTCCTCCTTCATGAAGCTCCTGATCCTGCTGCCTCCTCAGTCCCCGTCATGCCCTTCATCGTGCCCTTTCTACAGATTGCTCGTTGTTAATCCCATTATGTCCCGTTCCTCGTCCTGCTCCTACTGACTCGTCGTCGTCCACTCTTCCTCTCTTTATCTGTTTCTCGCTCGAACGTCCAGTTCGGGCAAGCGCAAACTGAACCAAACTACCTCCTCTCGACCTCGTGCCTCTTTCCTCCTCCTCCCCCTTTTCCTCCCACTCCTCCTCCTACTCCTCATCGGTGCGGTGACAAAACGCGCGGTGACCTCGACATCCCCCAAGACCTCGCCGCACGGTCCGTGCCCACTCGGTCCGTGACCGCGCGTTTTGGTCTCCTTGGAGACCTCGGGACCCTCTACCCCCGCCAGGCCCGCCGTGCCCTGGACGACTGCACGGGTGCGCTGGGTACGACGAGGAGGGGGACGGAGCGGAGGCGGCGCAAGAACCTCCTGTCGGCTGGCCGCAGCCCGCACGCAACACACACACACAACACACACACAACACACACAACACAGACGCACACGCACACGCAGACGCACACGCACACACACAAGCATACACACACACACACACGCACACGCACACGCACACACGCACACACGCAAACACGCAAACACGCACACACGTACACACGCACACGCACACGCGCACACGCGCACACGCGCACACGCGCACACGCGCACGCACACGCGAACGCACACCCATGCACGCACGCACGCACGCACGCACGCACGCCCACGCATGTACACCCACACACGTGCGCACGCGCGCACGCGCGCACGCTCGCACACAGAGAGAGAGAGAGAGAGAGAGCAACACCCGCGCACACACACACACAAACACACACACACACCACGCACGCACGCACGCACGCACGCACGCACGCACGCACGCACGCACGCACGCACGCACGCACGCACGCACGCACGCACGCGCACACACAAGCAACAACGCACACACACACACACACACAAGAAAAATAACACACAACAACAAACACAAACACACACACACAAACACACACAAACACACACAAACATATATACACACACGCACGCACGCGCAACAAACACGCACGCACGCACACTGTTTGGCGTAGCGGCCCCGCGCGGCGACAGGGCGTAGAAGAATGGAAAACAATAAGGCGCGCGCGTCTACGCCCGGCCGAGCACTCAGACACAACGAAAGGCCTCGTAACCGCAAGCACCCATAACCATGCGGGCATGGATGTCAGGGAGGGGGCAAAGAGCAGACGAAACTACGGCGAGGTGGAATGTGCCCCAAGCCAACTGGGACTGGAAGGCGGCGAGAGCGAGTAAGCAGAGTGAACCGACAAGGATAATGCCAAAGAACGACAGGGAGAGCTGGAGCAGGCGGCGAACCGCAACACGTCGCAGGCAAGAGGAGCTGCGAAAGCGGGCGGAGCCGGGCGGCGCGCAGGAAACGGCGGCGGCCGAGAGGGCGGTCCCTGAGGGAGCGGCCAGGGCCGGCCCCCCAAGAGGGGGGGGGGGAGGCGGCAGCGAGCGGAGAGGAGGACGCGGAGGCGGTCAAGAGACTGCAAGCAGACAGACAGGCAGGCAGACAGACAGCCCCCTCGACGACAGCCCTCTTCGACGACGACAAGATCATCGGCCTGGGCCCAGCCCTCTCGACGATAGCCCCCTCCTGGGTTCTTCCGCGGGCCTCGGGCCCTGGAGTCCTGGAGGAGCCCTGGGAGATCGAGAGTGCTTCCCATTGGCGGCGCGATCGAGGGGTCAGGAGGTAACTCCTGGGAGTTCTTCGCAAGAACGATCCAGGGCGATTAAGCCCGATTGAGGGGCCATGGAGCCGAATCTGCCTGAATTGACCCCAACATGGAGCCCGATTGAGTTGAGTGGAACGAAACGTATTAAGCTTGTTTTCGGACTGTGGGCGTACTGGCGCCGATGCTGAACAGAACCTCCCAGGAGTTGCATCCTACGAAGGGGTGGCGCAAACGGGGGGGTCTTCTAACAGGGCAGGGTGTTCCTTTGAAGGCGGGTGCCTTATCAGAACACCTCCAGGCGTGCCAACCGTCTCCTTAGGAACCTGAGGCGGCCCCAGCCTTCCAAGAAACATCCCGACTTCTTAGAAAGCCTGCCCCCTGCCCCGCGCGCACGCCACCAACATGAATGATGCGTGCGACGTCCGTCAGACTGTGCATGTTGCTCACTCGCTGTCGTGCACAAAGACCTGGCACTTTGCCAACGGCAGCCCGCGTGGCACTAGCAATGCACTTGCCCTCCGAGGGAGGAGCAGGGATGAGGACGGGAGTAGGGTGCAGATGCCGCGTCTGCGCGCGGAGCACACGGGCGGGCGCCTCCGGGGCGGCGGCGGGAGGGCCGAAGCCCCAGTGAGTACGTCACTGCGTGATGACATGTTTCAAGGCGTTCGTGGTATCGTCGGTTCGAGCCGCCGCTCTGACCTTCCAATGCCAGGACCACTCAGGTGCAAACTCGGCCGTGTCATCTTGATCGTCTTCTGTCGTGTTATCGTCCGCGGGATAACACAAATTTGCGAATTCTAACTCGTCTTTGGGGGGAAGAGTAATACGTGTTTTCGGAGTCCCAGGAATGCTAGAGGCATATGCGTCGCAATCGGGTGAGGAAGAATTGACGAGCAGCCCTCCGGGAATCTTTCGCCGCCGGGAGCGCCCCACCCGAGCGAGGGGGCGGGGGCCTTCTCAGAATTCCATAACCACCATCAAACAGCCAGCCACGGCACCTCGTGACTCCGCGGAGCGCCCGCCAACAGCTGGACGGAGGGCACCGCGCTGGCGTCGGCGATGGCCCCTGACACAACGCACGATCGAATCGGGAAGTCGGATCGAACCAAAACGTGCGGTGGATCGGGCCGCATTGGCATGGAGTCGGAATCGTATCGGATCGGCCGCGCCAGGATGCACACCAACGCCGTGCTATCATCGGACCGCATCAGGTCGTCGGACTGCTGGAATCGCATAGGATCGGGCCAAGATCGATAACCCTTTGCAGGCGAAACTAACACCGCAGTGATAATAAAAATCGGGGTTCACGAAGGATTGCAATGTTCTTCCCGGAGGTATCGATGTAAGGATGTCTGGATCGGTCTTCAAGAGCCTCTATGATGGAGCCTCCTGATGGTCGCGAACTCGACGAATCTTCGAAGATGTGCGTTTCGCTTGAGACACCGTCACACAAAGTATGATGACGATTACGCATGGTGCTATGCATGCTATGAAGATCAGAGTACGATGCGAACTTCGGGGGTGATGATAGAGTTCCCCCCCTGCCTGTCGTGGCAATTTGAAACCATATACAGGCCAGGGATGATCAGATGCAAGGGGTTACGGGGGGATCATTCAGTATCGTCGGCATGGGGTTATCGACGTCGAATCGGATCGATCGGATCGAGATGGAACTTGCTTGGGCGGCGATGATGGGGTCGAAGCAGACACGAGACACACGACGCCTGGCGGCAAGGCGTCACTCGGGTGAGCAGCGGCGCAACCAATCTAGTGCCAAAACTAACTACGTATGGGACGCACAGAAAACATACTAATACTATATGTCCGCCCTGTAGGCGCGCGTCCGACCCGAACATATAGTATACCCATCTTGTAGTATGACGTTGCCCGAGCGGTGTGGCCAGAAAGCGCCCGCCACCACGCATATACTATAAGACTTCTCGGTGCGCGCGTCGCCCTTGGGGAGAGCCACACACATAGTGTATGTATGCTGGGGTGACGCCGATACGTACACATAACCTTCCGAATGTCGACGCGGATCTTATTGGATCGGCTCCTCCCTGGCGCGCCGAGCGCGCCAGGGGGCGGCGATAGAGGCGCCGCCATGGGGACCCAACGCGGATCAATGAGATCCGCGCGGACCTTTGACAGCACATGTTTGTGTAGTGCGGTCCTCTCCGAGCCCAACCAACAGTAATGAAGGCCAGACCATGCCAAGGGAGAACAACAGGAGGAGGGCAAGGCCGCCACCTCCTCTACGAAACATATCCCCTGGACCCCCTAGAGCCCCCCAAGACTTCCAAAGACGCCCCAAACCGTCCCGCTCTCCATTGCCTCGCCCCGCCCACTCCTTCCCCCACCTGACCACGTCACGATTCGCTCGCCCGTTATCGCCAGGGGGTGCAAAAACTGCTTCCTGCCCCCCCCCCTCCTTGAAGGGCTGCCGAGATAAGGAACGCTGCGTAATGTACGGATTCCCTCTTTGGCGCCAACAACGCCTGGGTGCACAAGGAGGGCCAGAGGAACAAGCACACAACGCCTTAAGAAACAACACGATTGAAAGAACTGCGAGCCCCCTCCAAACCCAGAGCGGTCCTTATGTCAGTGTCCCGACTATACAGTGGCGACCCCCTTAGCATTGCCTGGCGGAGCAGAAGTGCCCCTTCCGCGCGCCGCCAGGTACAAACCATAGGGCGTCCAGGGATGCGGCGGCCACCATCTCCCGCCTGCTGGTTGGTCCGCGTCTTGATCAGCTGCTGCTGCACCTGGGCTGGGAGTTGCGTGAACCCAGGCCTTCGTCGTGGTCCTCTAAGACGACGAAGCCAGGACGAGGATAACACCGGGTGAAGATAAATCGGGAATCTCTAAAATCTGGCGGCTCTGGAGGATGCCTCGGGCAAAGCGGGCGTTCCGGAAGGCTCTGGAACGGAAAAATCCTCCTCCTGGCCTCGTCCGATCCTCGTCGCCCTCCCTGGCGGTCTCCAACCAGAAGTATCTGCAAGACCCTGCAGGGAGAAATCTCTGCAGAGGTCTCTCTGGAGGTCCACACGGGCCTCCAGAGGGCTCTCGCCATCAGTTTCTAAGGGGTCTCCAGAGGGTCCTGTACCCTAGATCAACCTCGTGGTATTCACTCAAAGGAGACCGCAAAACGTTCAAAACCTCGATCACAGCTCCTCATCCTCGACGTCCTTCGTCGCGCCTGCGTCATGGTGATCGACTGCTCGTACCGGTCGGGCAGGTCGATCACCTCCGATGGCCCCAGACGTCTGAGGAGTGCGAGAAGCTGGTAGGAGGAGAGGAGTGGGAGGAAAGGAGTAGGAGGATGAGGCGCCAAAGCAGAAGCAGAAGGAGAAGGAGGGAACAAGAGGAGGGAGCGTTCGAGAAGCCAGCTGGAGGCGGACGAGGAGCCGAGGAGAAGAGGACAAGGGGGGAGAGTGGAGGAGGAGCCGTCGTCGTCGTCGTCGTCGTCCTCCTCCTCCATCCTCCCTGGCCTTCCTCCCTCCTCCATCCTTCTCCTCGCCCTCCTCCCTCCTCCTTTTCCTCCTCAACCTGCTCGCTTTCATTTCCACCGCCCTCTGGCGACACAAAACAAATGCGCCCGGCGTGCTTTGCATTGCTTGGCGTTGCTTGAGATTGCTTGAGATTGCTTGCCATTGTTTGGGTTTGCTTGGCATTGTTGGGCATTAGCTGGCACAGCTTGGCATTGTGCGGCATGCCCTTACATGTAGTGGCATTGTTTTGCATTATCTGGCTTTGCATGGCATTGCTTGGCATTGCTTTGCAACCCGAAGAACCAAACCATAGAATCCGAGGAACCCAAGCAAGGAACACGACAGGGGAACCCGAAGAACCCAAACAAAGAACAAGACTGGAGAACCCGAGAAACAAGACCGGCGAATCCAGACATCGAACAAGACCGGGAAACCCAAGGGCCGTTGTATGGACACAAAACTGGGGACACCTCGAGGAACCTTGTTGCAATGAGAAAGAAAGCTGGGGAACCCGAGGAACCTCCGAGGAACGGGCAACGTAAATATAGGAGACACCGGGGGCGGGAAACCCGAGGCACCTGCGGGGAACGGGCACAGTAAGAATACTAGGCACCAGCCTTAAACCAACTACCCTGCGACATACCCAACCAATTTGCATCAAGTGACAAGAGGAATTGGCCCACACTTGCCAGGACAATGACAGCGCAGGCGCTGTTATATGGTGTGCAAGCTGCATTTGGTGCGCTCACGTGGCACGATTCACAGGACAACAACAGAAGGACGAGGAGAGAGGGCCCAAGCTTGAGGAGGACACGGGGGGGGGGAAACGAAGGCAGGACAAGGGCGCGCGGGGGGCCGAACCGTCAGCGCGGCAGCAGCAGAGGGAAGGTGGCAGGGGGCAGAGGAGGACGACGAACGTGACGGGAGGAGACCGAAGAGTGCTGCTCTTGTCGGTAATACGTTAAAAATGCAGCGCTGCCTGCGCCATGACACTGCGGTGCTCAACTAAAGTATGATTCTAGTTAGTGCAAGAAGCGAGCGAGGCTTAGCTCGCCCGACAACTTCCATGCTTCCTACCTGCACTTTGTCAGTGCGCGAGCTAAACCCTCGAAGGCGCACCGCGAGGTCTGCGGGTGGCCCGCGGCAACGCCCCGCTGGACCCCTAGCAGCTTTCGAAAGTGGCACCAGTCTCGCAGATTGCAGCCCCATAGGGATGGCGAGGTCTAGTCTGAGTCCGGGTGGTGCCTCGTTCCGCTGAACCCCCTAATTAGCAGCCCTCGAAATGGCCACGGTTTCGCAGATCGCAGCTCCCCAGGGATGGCGAGGTCTAGTGTCTGCATCGGGGTGGTGCTTCACTCCCCTGGCCCCCCCAGCAGCCCTCGAAAATGGCGACAGTTTCGCAAATCGCAGCCCCCCCCAGGGATGGCGGGGTCGAATCTAAAGCTGCGTAAGACGTCACTCGCCAGACACCCCAACAGCCCTCGAAAGTGGCGACATATTCGAAGATTGCAACCCCCTAGCGATGGCGAGGTTGAATCTGAGCCTTGGCGGGACCCCATTTCGCTGGCCCCCCCAACAGCCTTCGAAAGTGGCGACAGTCTCGCAGATTGCAGCCCCCTAGGGATGGCGAGGTCTAGTCTGAGTCTGGGTGGTGCCTCGCTCCGCTGGCCCCCTAGCAGCCCTCGAAAGTGGCGGCAATTTCGCAGATCGCAGACCCCCAAGGATGACGAGGTCAAATCGGAGTCTTGGTGGGACCCCACTCCGCCGGCCCCCCGAGCAGCCCTCGAAAGTTGCGGCAACTTCGCAGATCGCAGACCCCCAAAGATGACTAGGTCAAATCTGAGTGTTGGTGGGACCCCACTCCGCCGGCCCCCCCGAGCAGCCCTCGAAAATGGCGGCAATTTCGCAAATCGCAGCCCCCCCCATGCATGGCGAGGTCTAATCTGAATCTGCGGCGGGTACCCACTATGCCAGTCCCCCCAGCAGCCTTCGAAAGTGGGGGTAATTTCGCAGATCGCAGCCCCCCCAAGGGATGGCGAGGTCTAATCTGAATCTGCGGCGGCTACCCAAGGTGCTGGTCCCCCCAGCAGCCTTCGAAAGTGGCAACAGTTTCGCAAATCGCAGCCCCTCCAGGGATGGCGAGGTCTAATCTGAGTCTGCGACAGGTACCCACTATAGATGGCCCCCCAAGCAGCCCTCAAAAGTGGCGACGGTTTCGCAGACCGCAGCCCCCCCAAGGGATGGCGAGGTCTAATCTGAATCTGCGGCGGCTACCCACAGTGCTGGTCCCTCTAGCAGCCTTCGAAAGTGGCGACGGTTTCGCAGATCGTAGCTCCAAAGGCATGCCAGCTTCACACTTCGCAGGCCCCACAGGCGAGCCACCAGGCGCACAGGAGAGGACAGGAGACGGGAGGCAGGAAGGAGGATGGAGTACGGAGACCGCGGTGCTCTATTCGAGACGAGAACCCAACGCAGGAGGGTTGGGAATTACCCTTGCGACGTATCCAGCCCCTGCGCAATGCGGGGCATGAGTAGCTTGGGATGACGTGACATGGGCGCATATACTTCTGCGAACGGCGTTTGTGAGGCTCGCAGCCCCCAAGGGACGGCGAGTTCCCGCTCAGATCTGCGCGGTGCCTCACTCAGCTGGACCCGCCAGCAGCCCTTGAAAGTGGCGACGGTTTCGCAGATCGCAACCCCCCAAGGACGGCGAGGTCTCGCTCAGATCTGCGCGGTGCCTCACTCCGCTGGACCCACTAGCAGCCCTCGAAAGTGGTGACAGTTTCGCAGATCGCTATTCTGGCCCCGCAAACAGCCCTCGACAGCTTCGCAAATCGCAGCCCCCCCAGGGATGACGATGTCCAATTTGGATCTCCGGCGGGTACCCACTATAGATGGCCCCCCAAGCAGCCCTCGAAAGCGGCGACAGTTTCGCAAATCGCAGCCCCCCCCCAGGGATGGCGAGGTCTACTTTGGATCTGCGGCGGCTACCCACTATGCTGCCCCCCCACGCAGCCCTCGAAAGCGGCGACAGTTTCGCAAATCGCAGAGCCCCCCCCCAGGCATTGCGAGGTCTACTTTGGATCTGCGGCGGCTACCCACTATGCTGGCCCCCCAAGCAGCCTGCGCAAGTGGTGACAGTTTCGCGAATCGCAAGTGGTGACAGTTTCGCGAATGGGAGCCCCCATGGGATGGCGAGGTCTACTTTGGATCTGCGGCGGCTACAACCAAATATGCTGCCCCCCCCAAGCAGCCCTCGAAGCGGCGACTTTTTCGCGAATCGCAGCCCCCCAGGGATGGCGAGGTCTACTTTGGATCTGCGGCGGCTACCCACTATGCTGCCCCCCCCCAAGCAGCCTTCGAAAGTGGCTGCAGTTTCGCAGATCGCAGCTCCCCAGGGATGGCGAGGTCTAATCTGAATCTGCGGCGGGTACCCACTATGCTGGTCCCCCCAGCAGCCTTCGAAGGTTGCGACAGTTTCGCAGATCGCAGCTCCACAAGGGATGGCGAGGTCTAATCTGAATCTGCGGCGGGTACCCACTATAGATGGCCCCCCCAGCAGCCCTCGAACGTGGCGACAGTTTCGCAAATCGCATCCCCCAGGCAAGATGCACACACGAGAGATGCCGCAGGCAAGATGCACACACAAGAGGTACGCACAAGCAAGAGGAGACAAGAGTCTCAGAGGGAGGCGGGAGGAAAGAAGGAAGGACGCGCGAGCAGTGCTCTATTCAAAACAATACCTAACCAAGGAGGGTTGGGGAAAAAAAAAACCCGTAGGCAAGCCCGAGGGAGGCACTGGAGGCGGGAACCCGAGGAAACTCCGAGCAACGGGCACAGCAATAATACTAGCCAACAACGTTTGACCAAGTAAGAACCCCTCCTTAGCCAAGCCTGCTGCGGAGAGAAGGAGTGTGCCGGCAGCTCCTGAACCCCTGCGGCGCCTGGAGGCCGCCTTTGGCTGTCGCAAGGGCAGCGGGGTGCTGGCAGAACCGGGCCCTGGACCCGGCGGGGTTCCCAGGGGAGCAGTTCTTTAGCATGGGAAATTTTCTGACGGCTCAAGGGCCCCTGACCTTTGGCGGCGCGCACAGGGGGGCAGGGGGAGAGGAAGCCTTCCTAGAAGCTGGCTGCTTCTCAGAAGGCGCTGGCCCTGCATATATATATATATATATATATATATATATATACATAGATGAGGCCCGCACCTTCTAGGAAGCAGGGGTGCTTCTAAGAAGTCTTCCCTCCTCCCCCATACCCCCCTCTGCGCGTGGCCGAGACATCCTCTCGCTGCGTAACAATCAAGACGAAGGGTTTTTGGGCGATGTTCGGCTTTCGGGGGCCCGCGCGGGGCCGGAGGCCCTCCACAAAGCAGCTCGGGATGAGCAACCCTTCCTGGGGGAAGGGGCCCAGACCTCCGGGGAGCCACGCTGTGCAACAAGACCTCGACGGAGGATGCTCGGGGCACGGGGGCGGCCCCCTGGAGCCCGAGGACGGACGGCGACCAAACCTCCAGGGCCCCTCCCTCGGGGCCCCTCTCCCTCCGGCTGCCTGGAAGCCGCACCCGGACCCCGGGGTCCGGCAATGCCGAGGGGGCCTAACCGCGGGGGCGGGAGGGGCAATCACCTGTGCCCCCTGAAGATCGAGGCTCCGGGATGGAAGCTCGAGGAGGTCTTTGGGCATTTGGGTCGTTCCTGGGGGCCTTGGGGCGCTCCGCAGGCCTCGCTTCCTCGAGGCCACACGGCGCTTCCTCCTCGAGGAAGGGGCGGCCTCCCCCGAGTGGTGCCCCCTTGCTTGGAGGGGCCATCGGACAGCTCACAGAGCGAGGAGGAGGCCAGGAACTCTGGGGGAACCCGGGGCCGGAACCTCGAACGGAGCGGACTCGCGGGGGTCTGGGGTCGGCGTTGCTCCTCCCCGCGCGGCGCCGACGACGGCGCTCAGCGCTCCGGCTCGAGGCCTCTCCTCCCTATATGGAGGCCGCCCAAATGGGGTCGAAGTTCATGGGGTCGCAAGACCGCACCGCATCGCCGATGCAGAGCCGATGCATCGTCGACGTCGCCGATGCTTCGGCGGCGTCGGCGTGGAGAAAATCCGGTTCCACATTGGGCATATCCATCGACCTCATCAGCCTCGAGACGTGATTTGGGCGGCCTGGACTATACCAAATGACTCGGACAAGAACAGAGCGACTTCCCGAGGGCACAGGGATCGCGTGACCTCTGAGTGGAAATTTTAGCCGGTGACTAGCTCAGGGGGGGGAAACATCGAGCTTGAATCGGCGATGCCGATGGATCGACAGATCGGCGAGTGGCCCCGATAGCGAAACCGCACGGTCCTGGTCGGGGTGGGCTATCAGGCCCCGGTTTGCGATGAGTAGGAGGTTGGGGGTCGATATCTGGCGTGGACCATGACTAAGGTCGAGTGGCCTCAAGCAGCGAAGGCCAGTGAAGGTCCAGCCTGGGATCCCTTTCCTATCCTCAGGGCCCCATCACTCAAGGATGGAGTGAATGGGAGGCTGGGGGTCGATGCATCCACCCCCTTATTACAACGCTGCCCCGAGCTTTGCGCTCCCAAGCGACGGGCCATGTGATGAGGGCAACCGTTCGACACAGACCGCCACGTGCGCTTCTATACCCGCGAACCCGCGGGAGGCCTGGCTGAGCAGCGGGCGTCCTCCCTGGTAGAAAACAAACACAATATCAATGGCATGCCGCCGCGAAGAGCCCGTCAGCGTGCTACCGTGGAAACAACATCAGACCAACGGCGGGGTATCATTGATACTAGTTGTTCTCAACCCTCCTGTGGAGTTGAATCCTCGTTCTGAATTCGCAGCGCCGCGCGTCTTTCCTCCTCTCCTCCTCCCCCTTCCTCCCTTACGCCTTTCATGCTCCTCGTCAAAAGCATCATCTTGATATTAATCAACACCTTCATCAGTCTCATCACATGTTCGTCACACCCCTCACGGCTCGTACCCCCCATAGGGAGCTCAACAGAAGGCCCCAGCGACGGCTCTAGCAGAGCAGGAGGCCTCATCCTCCCCATTCTCATTTGCCTTTTCGCATTTCGGCAGACCCCTCACACGTTTCGGGGCCCCGGAGTGGGCTCCACCTAGGGCCCCAGCGGCAGGGTTCACATGGGTACCCGCCCCATTGTGGCACACCCCTCACAAGTTTCGTGGCCCCCGTAGGGAAGCTCCACCGAGGGCCCCAGTGGCAGGGTTCACATGGGTACCCATGGGGAGCTCCACCGAGGGCTCCAGTGGTAGGGTTCACATGGATACCCACCCCATGTTGGCAGACCCCTCACACGTTTCGTGGCCTCATGGGATGCTCCACCGAGGGGGACTGCGGAACCCCTGAACGACTTCTTGTGCATTGAGCGGTCATGTTGGTCATTATCATGCCCGTAAAATGGGTTGGGTTCTTCGCCAAGGTATTTTTTCCCTCTGGACCCCAGCGTGCGCGGAACCACACCGACATCCGACGACCCGAATGGTGGGGGCCCGTGATCTCTCGGCCCTTGCCATGGGCCGGCCGCTCGACCGACGAAGCTGTTTTTGGCGGCCCTTCCGGCGCCGAAAACGACTGCTGCGTGATTTTGCTGCGGAGGGGGAGGGGAGGAGGAGGACGAGGAGGGAGGATGCAGGAGGGAGAACGGGGGAGGGCAGAGGGATGAGGTAGGAGTGGAGAACGGGGGGAAGGGCGGAGGGAGGAAAAGAGGAGAAGGATGGATGGTGTGCTCCCTTTGAGCTGGCGGCGGAAGCTTCGGACGAGACTTCTTTTTAGCAAGGGGCCACGACCCGGGGAGGGTTCGGAAGCGACCTTGCTGCGACGGCTCTGGAAGACAGATCGCCAGCTCTGAAGGGGTCGAGGGGAGGGTTGGTAAGAGCTGTGCACTTTCCAAGACCTGCGCGGAGTCAAGAGGGCGGCGCACAGAACCGACCCTGGAAAACCGTGCAAGCCTTTGAAAGTTCCCACAGTTCCAACAAGGACCTCCGCCCGAAACCCCGGCCAGGGCGAAGCAGAAGAGGCAACTCAGAGACTCCCCGCCATATGTGGGGGGGGGCCAGGCAGGGAGCACCTGCCTGGGGCTCGTCCGATCCCCCCACGCTGCCTGGTCGACGTACCCCGCAGGTACGGGACGGTGACAGGAGGAGGGAGAGGAAGCCACCCCAGGGAGGGGAGGATCCAGCCCGACCCGACCCGCCTGCCAGGAGACTGGGGGGCGAAAGATGCCGAAGCCGAAGCCTCCAACACCAGACCAGAATTTCCAGGCGAATCCTGCCGTGACCACGACGAGACCCCAAAAACGAGCAGCAGACCAGGAAACAACCCCCTCAGTGCCCCGGGCAGAGGGGAGGGAGGGCGGGAGGGGGGAGATAACACGAGGGCAAGGAGGGAGGCGGGAAAGGGGAAGGGCAGAGACCCCCAGGACCGAAGGCACAAGTTTTCAGAGCTGCCACCGGACAGGGCGACAAGGGAAACCCCAAGAGCCGAGGAACGGGGACGCGATCAGGACCCCCGACGGAACACCCAGGGCCTCCGAAGGCCCGAAAGGACCTCCAGGACCTCCAACGGCCTGCCCCCACGGCGACTCGAGGACTCCCGGCGGCCGATGGCAGCGGCCTCGGCGCCCCGATGCGCGCTCCAGGGCCTGCTTGCCAGCTCTCCCTCACACGGCGGCACGAGGGCACGCGGCAGCCCCCTGCGGCGGCAGCGGCGACCGACGACGACGACGACGACGACGACGACGACGACGACGACGACGACGACGACGACGACGACGACGACGACGACGACGACGACGACGACGACGACGACGACGACGACGACGACGACGACGACGACGACGACGACGACGACGACGGGGGGAGAGGGCACCCCAACTGGCCTCGGAGGGGCTGCCGCGGCCGGCATGCCTCCGAGGGCTGGGCTTCGCACTCTCCCAAGGAGCACGCTCCTGGGCCAGCTTGCCAGCTCTCCCCCACGCGGCGGCACGAGGCCACGCGGAGGCCACCAGCGGCAGCGGCGGCGACCCCGACAACGACGACGACGACGACGACGACGACGCCGACGACCGACGACGACGACGACGACGACGACGACGACACGCGGCGGCCGACGGCAGCGAAAGCGGCGGCAGCGGCACGACGACAGGGAGGGAAGAGCGAAGGCTGGGAAGGGACCGAGGAGGAGGAGGAGGAGGAGGAGGAGGAGGAGGAGGAGGAGGAGGGGAGGGCGGCCTGGCCCCGGCAGACCCGACCCGCCCGGCCCGGCCCTGCGGAGCGGGAGGACGGGAGGGAGAGGGGGCGAGGCGACCCCCCGGGGCCCGAAAAACGGCCTCCTGAGGCCGACGGCGCGGAGAGACAGAACCTCCCCACCACCCACCCCCTCCACCCTCTTTTTTTCTACCTATGCTCTGTTTTGCAACTGATGCGCTGTCCGTCACACAATCCTCACAGGAAATGCACTGCCTGCTGGGCAGAAGGCTGGAGGGGGGAGGAGGAGGAAAAGGAGGAGGAGGAGGAGGAGACGCAGGAAACATCAAAACTTCCTGTGCGGACTTGAAACAAAAGGGTTCTGACTCGGCTCCTCTACAGAGGCTGCACAGCATCTGCCTGCCGCTCCCCGGGCGCACGGGGGCCCTACCTAGAGCGTGGAAGAGGGAGGGGGGCGGAGGAGAAAAAAGAGCGCAAGGGGTAGAGGCTCCCCCGAGAAGTCTTACCGCGAGGCTAGGCTGCCTGGTCAATCGGACGCCGGGGGCGGCGACCATGCTGCTGGCGGCAGGGGCGGCAGAGGCGGGAGCGCCTGCGGGCCGCCAATCCGCTGGGGGGCTGGCGGGGTGCCATTGTTCCAGGGCTCGGTCCAGGTCTCGAGCTTGGCCAAGATCGCCTCCTGGACGCCGTTCTTCTTGCTGGCAGACACGTGCACGTGGCCTCCTTTGCGGAGCCAGACATGGGCTGCCCCCTTCTTGTGCCCGAACTGCAGGAGCACGCCCTTCGGCACGGGATCCCGCTTGGGGACGCGGCACCACTTGCCAGTGGCCATGAGGGGGCCGCTCACCGGGTGAGTGTAGGCCCAGTACAGCACGATCCGGTCCGTCGGGAGGCTCCCGTCTGGGAGCCTCCGCACCCACCTGTCCACGTTGTGCTTGTCTGCCTCTGCAGCCGGCGGGCCCTGGACGCGCCCGAACTCCGGGAAGAGCGGGTCGCAGGCCCTTGGCTTCGGAGCGGCGGTTGCTGGCGGCGCGCCCCAGTCCTGGGCGTCACTCCCCCGACCCGCTGGGGGCAGAGCGTGCGAGGGGGGCGCCCCGTTACCGGCGGCAGGGCTGGCTGCTGGCCCGCTGGCCCCGCACAGGAGCCGCAACCCCGAAGGCCCTTTGGTTGCCACAAGAGCGTACACAAGCTGCCCACATTCCATGCAGGCAAGGGCCGCCGTGTCACCCGAACCCTGCCCGGGCTCAGCCCCGCCGACGCCACGGCCTGTCCACGGGTCCGGCCCCAGCCCCGTGAACTTGGCCCGCTTGGCTGGGGGCTGCTGACCTGGCTCGGAGTGCCCTGCTGCTCCCGTGAACTGCTGCGCGGCGCCGGCGGCCAGAGAAGTGTTCGTTGCTTCCCAGGTGGTCCAGCAGTACTCGCAGTAGCCCGCCTTGACCGGACCGCCCACAACGCCGCACTCCACGCACTGCACAGGCAGGAGACCTTGCTCGGGCGCCCACCCTGCTCCGGAGGTTGGGGGCCCCACGGCCTCCTGCGTCCCAGGACCGGTCTGTGCCGCTAGGGCGCCGCGCGCGGGCTGAGGCCCTCCGCCGCCGGTGGTGGCCTGCCCTTTGGCCTCCTGCTCCGGGGCCGCAGCCCCCTCGGGCAGAACAGCCGACTCCGGGGCCTCCGCGCGCTGCTGGGGCGCCTGTTCCTGGCCCAGGTCGGGGGGGCACCCTGGGGGCGTTGCTGGCTCCGCTTCCCAGGCGTCCCAACACCCGCCGCAGAAGAACTTGTGCTGGAAGGGGCCCTGCCCCTCTTTGAGCTGGAAGGGAGACAGGGGGGCCCTGCCGCACCAGGCGCACCACGACGGGAAAGAGCTCGAGTCCTGGCTCTGGCCGGCCCCAGGGCAAGCGCCCGCCTGGTCCGGGGCCTCCGGCGCTGGAGCGGCGCTCCGGGACTCCGCACCCCCCTGGCCTTCCGAGGGCGAGCCGCCCTGGCAGACCGGGAACGCGAGGGCGGGCTGCGACGGGGGAGGGCCCCCAGCGGCCGCCGCGGCTCGCCAGGACTCCTGCTGCTCGGGGTTCATGAGTTCCCACTGGCGCTTTACGGCCCGCCCGTACAGGGTCTTCGAGCAGCACGCGCCTGGGCGTTTGGACTCACTGGTCGCCGCTGCCCGGAGGGTTGCCTTCAGGGACGGCTTGTGGTCCATCCAATACTTGAGAACATCTTCCTGCTTCAGCTGCTCCCCGGCCATGGCGATCTAATCCGAGGCGGACCACGCTGGCTTCTGGGCGTCCGGAGGGGATGCGGGAGACTGTAGAGAGAGCGGCTGCGGAGAGGGGGGGGGGGAGGCAGCGCACCGGCATCAGCAGGGGAGGAGGGGAGGGAGATTGGAGGGGACTGAGCCAGCGCGCCGTCGAGATTGCCCCTTCACCCCTCCCGCGGCTCAGCGCGACCCATGGGACGAGGGCCTGTGGCCCGTTGAGAGCAGAGGGATGGGGGCAAGGGACGATGCGCTGAGTCGACCCTGGGCCCTGACGTCCTCGCCCTGGCCCGACCTCTCGAGGCCGCCCGATCCACCTCGAGGCGCGCTTCTTCGAATAGCAAATCTCAGTGGTGCCATTCTACTGGCGAAGCTTTTGACGACAAAACGCAATTCAAAACATTAAACGCTTAATCGCAAAATGCTCGGTGTAGCGTTGGACCAATCGCGGCTGACTGAACGCGAGAACGCGAGCGCCCGCGCGATGCTCCTCGCTGCAGACTGAAGCCCCGATGGGCACCACGATCACAGCGTTTGGCGCGAAAGGGCGCGGACCGAATTGCCTGCCAATCGCGACGTTGCGATGAGGAACCGCTGCGCCAATGACAGCGGCAGCGGTGATACATCGAACAAACACCTTGGAGCAAGTGCCATTGCGACAGCGACATCAAAGGCGCCATTACGTTCAATGACACATTGGAGGTCGCGCAACCACGCGCGAACCCCACGCGGCACTACACCGCGCAACCGCATGATGAACGCAAACTGCACAAGCCAACGCGACGCGCGTGCCTGCGCGCGCTAACCCACAACCAGTGGCTCGCACGTGCGCGCGCGCACGTTCGAGGGCGATGGCATCGCCAGAAGTCGCGGCGCGATGGCAACTGGCTGTGCAAATTTGCAGGTCGCCAGGCGCACTTCTGAAAGTTCTTGGGGTCGCAAAACCATAATGAAAACCGCGCCGCGCATCCAAAGCGACGCGATCACGCGAGTAGGGCCGCCCGCGCACGGCAAGGCGCGAACGCAAACCCAAGCTGGAAAAAAACCAGCGATGTATGGAATCGGATTGCAACGGGCGCTGGTTTTCAGGGCGCGCTAAAAACGCATCGCGCGTCGAAGCGCGACCGCCAACAGTCAGCTATGAGGCTGGGCACCCTCGCTGGGAACGGTCAGAACTCAAGAGCAGCGGCCAGGAATTGATGGGCGCCTCGAACGGCGGCGACAACAAAAAAACACATCCTCTCGTCGCCGCACGGCGCAAGAAGCGGCGCAGTCGACCGCGCACGTCCGCACCGCGCAGATTAGCGCAAGACGCGACGCACAACGAAGGGATTGAAAGCCCGCTCGCGCGCGCACGCGCGCACGCCGCAAAGGCGGGAGCGCGCCCCCGCGGGCCTGCGCGCGTTCCGAAGGGCCGCCAGCGCGCGCCAGCGCAGCCTGCGCACTGGGCGCCGACCCACCGCGGAGACGACGTCGACGCAGAGGGTTCTGTGGAGCCAGAATACTTGAGCCAGAATGGTCGGATCCAAACTTGCAACAGAGGGGGGGGGCGCCGGGGGCGGCGGGGGGGAGCAGGAGCGGAGGGTTTGGCGGGGCGGGGGCCGGAGGCGCAGCGGGGGGACGCAGAGTAGAGCGCGGCGAGGGGGGGAAGGGGGTCGGAGGGGAAGGAAAGGAAGGCCGCCACCATGCTTTCGCACGCAGAGGCGCGTGAAAACGCTTCGCGCTTCCATTTGGGATTATTTCCAACGTTCTCTAAGGCGTATGACGTACTTGCAGTTCGACAGGATATGCAATCGCACCCCGTTTGGCGCGCGCAATGCGTCTGGTTAGTGTCATCGAGGCCACGGCCGTGCATAAGTGACACAACAGCCGCCCCGTCTCAACAACCATCTGTTTGATCGTTTCAACCCCCGCGCGTTCCAATCCAATGTTGGCCCTACGCTGCCCGACAGGTTCCAAAGCGGGCCCCGAGACGGCCGCGCGTGGCCCCGAGGCGGCCCGCGAGGCGCCCGCGGCGGCGCAGGAAGACATCGCGACGGCCCCTTGGGGATCCCAGAAGGCGCGCCGCGACCAGCTAATCCTTTGATTCCGCACCGACAAGACCCACGAAGGACGCACGAGGCGGCGCAAACGCGCGCAAGGATATCCGAGGGCCCCCACCACAGCACCGAAAGACAAATACTATTGATCTATCCTTGATTATATTCAAGATGTGGAGGTCCGCACCTTTCGGGCTCCCTGGCGCCCCAGGGCGGCCTTCGAGGCCCCCAAAGACCACTCCGAGACGGCCAACGACCCCTCAGAAGACCGCCCGATTGTCGGAGAGGGCCCCAAGACGGCCCATAAATCATCATAGATTATCAAACGACGCCCACAGGCGGTCTCGAAAGGAGTCCGCGAACAGGAAAAGCACTCAACCCGCGGCCGCCCAGGCGGCCCAAGAGCTCCGCAAGGGCGGCCCCCGCGCTGGTCCACAGAAGCTGACGCCATGCATGTTTCATCGTTTGTGTCCACGTTTGAAAAATCTGTCGCGTTTGTTTTCCGCATTTTCGGATGGGCCGCGAGATTTCTCCGAGCGCCCAAAAAAACTTCCAACGAGGTCCTCAACGGGGCCCATATGAAGGCCCCGAACGGCCTCAAAATGACGGAAAACGAACGCAGGGCCAAGCGAGGACGCGCCACGATGCCCCCCTTATCAAACACAAAACCTGGGACAATGCGGGGCCAGTGTGCAAATTAGCATGTGCACCAATGCACCCAATGACATTTTATCAAACCTCAACTGTCCGAAACCATGCGTCTACGACATGTCAGCAACAAAAAACTGATGTGAAAACGCAACTGTCCAAAACGAGCTTCCTGGACAATTGAATCGCGGTTCTGATGTCTCGAATGTCATGCCGCAGGTTGCCTTCATCATCCGCCACAACACTGCGGAACCTCAACTGTTCATAACAATTGTTTCCCTGGGCTCCTTACCACCAGGCTAACCCAACAACGCAGATAAGAAACGCCCAGCCACCAAACCAAAAAAAAAAAAACGTAGCCTGGCGAAAAACCCAACCATATACAACTGGGGGCTCCATGTGGGGCCGCGGACCGTGTGAGGGGTGCGTCCATGTGACGTGGCGCCGCCATGTGGACGATGCTACTGGGGCCTTCGGTGGACCCCCCTGTGGGTCCACGAACCGCGCGCTGGGTTTGTAGCCGCGCGATTTGTGAAGACCGCATGCGGGGCGGCGCACGATTTGTGAAGACCGTCTGCGGTGTTCTTGGCCAGAGGATTTGTTAACACCGTCTGCGGGGTTTTTGGCGGCACGATTTGTTAACACCCTGGGCGCGAAACGATGTGCGAACACCTGGGCGCCGCACGATGTGGTAACAACCTGGGCGCCGCGCAGTCCCACCAGCCCTCTGGGCGTAGGTGGTTTGGGGAGTTTCCTCTTCCAACCCCCTTTCTTCCCCTTGGGGGAGGGGTTTACCCCTCCCCCTACCCCCTCCACTGGACCTGGACGGGAGGTTTCGCTGGTAGTTGGAGCGTCCAAGATGGCCCAAGATGGCTCCAAGAGCGCCTCGGGGAGCCCAATATGAGCTCCAAGATTGCTCAAGAAGCTAGCCTCAGATGCCTCAAGACGGCTCCGAAGATGCTCCAGTAGGCCCGAAAACCGCCCCAGGACGGCTCCGAGAGGCCAGCTAGGTCCCCCAGGAGGCCTCCAAGAGGCCAAAATCCTTCAAAAACCGAAGGAACATCAATGCGTGTTGCTTTCTCACCCTTTCGCTTCCGATGGCCTTCCGAGGCCTCAAGATGGCTCCAAGAGGGCCCAAGATAGCCCCAAGAGGGGCCCAAGATGGCCTCAAGACGGCCCCAAGAGCGCCCAAGAGCGCTCCAAGAGCGCCTCGAGATGAGCCCAAGAGGCGATTTTAGAGGATCTAGAGGGGCAGGCCTAATTAACCCCACTCTCTTCTTTGATCGATCGCCTCCAAGATGGCCCTAAGAAGCGCCAAGGAGGCCCCAAAAGGCGCCAAGATGGCCCCAAGATGGCCCCAAGATGGCCCCAACATGGCCCCAAGAGGTCCCCGAGAGGCTCCCCGGGGCACCCAAGACGCCCCAAGAGGCCTCCGGGACCGCCGAGACGCTCCCAAGACGCCCTAAGAGGCCTTCAGGACGCCCCCAAGAGACCCCCGAAGAGACTCCGAGAGGCATCCAAGAGGCCTCTGGCCATTCTGCTCGCCCTTTTCCTCGTCCTCCTTTTCATTCTCGTCCTGCTCCTGCTCCTCCTCCTCCTCCTCCTCATCCGCCTATTGCTCTTCCTCCCTCTACCCTCCTCCCGCTCCCCCTTTTCCTCCTTGAGTTCCTCCTCCTCATCGTCCTCCGATTCATCCTCCATCCTCGCCGTCTTGGGTAAGACGGGTTCCCCAGCCTTTTGTTATTCTGTATGCCCCCCACTTCCCTGATCACCCCCATTCGCCTGGGCATCGTTACTGCATGGGCTGTTGGGGATACGCGAAGCGTCAAGAATTTGTTGGTCTGGAACAGACTGGGCGCTACACGATTTGTTAACACCGTCAGCGGAGCTGTTGGCCGCACGATTTGTTAACATTGTTTCCGGCGGAGGCGGGGTGGCAATGCCACCTCCGCGCGTCGCAACGCCACTTCCGCGTGTGAAGTGCACGCCCAACTGGAGCGGCGCCGCCATGTGGACCTTGCCACTGGAGTCTTCGGTGGAACTCCCTGCGGGGCCACGAACCGTGATGATGCGTGCGCTTAAACAAGGCGGCGCCGCCATGTGGGCCCTGCCGCTGGGCCCCCCCTCGAACTCCATGTGATGCCACGGACCGTGTCAAGTCTGCGCCCACATGGCGCGGCGCCGCCATGTGGACCGTGCCGCCGAAATCTGCGGTGGAGCTCCCTGTGGGAACGACGCCCCCCCAGAAGGGCTGGACCAAGCAAGAAGAAGGCGGGGGTGCCCGCCACCGTGTCCCTTCGCCCC